TTTACAGACCTGTTGCGCTATTTATATTGGTGGTTTTTGTATTAATTTTTGTACAGCATTGATTGAAGTAGCCGGCGAAAACATCGTAGTAGCCGATCGAATGCGCCGGCCGCCGGCTCTTAAATAAACCCCTGGTCATTGTCAGTTATCATCAGCATTTCATTTCCATATATTCGTCATTTTAATCTTCATGATTTCCATATTGATTATGATATTAATTTATGTTACGTCAGGGAGAAATTTTATACAATTTTCAAATAATTTCAATCGTTTATGTAATAAGCATTTCTGTGTTAATATTCTAATGAGCATAATTATTTTTACGATTTTCATTTTCTAAATAATTTTAAACTTAATTGCATCATGTTCCAAGTCTAAAATTTCAAAAATTTACATCATTTAAACTTATTTAAAGCATTCTTATAATTTAAGAACTATAACACTTTAAAAAAATTCTATCATGTTTTCTTATCGTAGAAAGGAAAGCGTACAAAACAAAAATTGTCTGACTTTTTACTGTGGTTTGAAGTGTGGAGATCATCTATCAAAGAAGTCGAAGGTAAACATGTCATAAAATACAGTATTTGTCAATAACTTGAGCAAACATAATATATAAGGCTACTATACTGGATAGCCAAGGGATTCAATCAATATTTAATCAAATGTAACTAGTTATAGCCATAACGATAAGGAAACAATCTAAACTGTATAGATGGTAGGCAACCCATAGATCACGACCCAGGTTTGGGTCATTGGTGAATTTTTTAGGGTTGTTAAATTGCATTTGGGGGAGGGAGATTTAAAAAATCTAACAAGCAAAAGAACCAGAGTTTATCGAAAGTATAATCCAATTATATATATAGGTGTAATTTTTTTGCCCTACCTGATGTGGAAATGTACCGAATACTCAGTACATTTGAAAACAACTGCGAAAAAAATCGCAAGTTGTTCTCGGGTGGGACTGAACCCACGATCTCCAGATCACTAGCCTGGCATCATACCTCTAGACCACCGAGCTTGCGTCTGATGGCCAGGGTTGAATTTGAGTCCAAGTAAGCAGCGGGTACTGCAGTGTTGATGGTAATTGTTATTGTCGTGATGGAATAATAAACAATAACCGGATTTGCGTCATGAGAAACCTATACATGTTTCTCCTGACGCAAATTCAGTTATATTGTCTATTATTCCATCACGACAATAACAATTACTATAATCCAATTGTAATCGAACTGCGAGATGCCAGTCTCTATCGGCAAGATGTTGTTTGACAGCTACAGAGTATTGATAATATCAGCCGTAGTCCTTGTATTCTGGTTTAGTTTTTACGACAATTATAATTAGTGGATTTGGAAGCTTTTTATCATTGGAAGTTATTGCAATTCATTTTGGGTTCCTAGGGTTAAAAATTGCCAACGGTAGCTGTATAGCATCTTTTGTAATTGCACTGTAGCTTGGTGGTTTTTCTGCTTGCATCCCATATATTACCATATTCACTGCCAATCCATACTTATGGTAATAAAAGTTTAATAGAGCAAAATTCTTCCATTCTTTAATTGGCAACCATTTGTACAAATAATGGATGTTAGTGCAGTGGAAAAATGCATAGAATAAAACATTCAATGAGGCGTAGCCGAGTTGAATGGAACAGTGAATATATTTCAACAAAAGAAATGTTTTTTTATTGAAGTTGACAAATAAAAAAACATTTATTTTTTTTTAAATATAATACACCAAGTATACATTAGATTCTTGTTATTTGATATTTTATGAAAAATATAGTTGCTTGCCTTCCAATATAATGATTATAGGTTCTACAGGTACAGTAGTGCAAAAATAATACTCTGAATACCAGCATAAATGTTGCTAAGTGCTTTTTTATATTATTATACTGCAAATATTGATCAGGAGTCTCGCCAGCTATACTTAAGCGTGGCGGGACTGCCACGCTTGGGCGAAAAAACAAAATAAGCAAAGGTTGTATCACGCTTAAAATGTTCGCGCGACGCTAAAAAATATGTACTAAGTATATTTTGTTCAAAAAGTTACAACAGTAAATACCAAAGTGTCGAAACGGAAATGTTGCCATGGGGAACAGTATTTGTTCAATTGCCTATCATCATGAGGCACCGCCTTCAATGCAAGCTCAACTGCAGGATCTCTTCGTACTCCGCCAGTGCCTGCAAGTAGGTACAGTACATGTGAACTCGGGTCCCTGGTCGGCTGGTGGATAGGCCGCTTTCAGTACCGTTCATGTGTGGTGATTCAAATGTGAAGTAGTCCGTTTTTTAATGGTGATTGATAAAGCAACATTTATTAATTGAATTTACACGAATTTCTTATGGAACACCTTTTTTTATACTGAATTTTGGCGAATTACCGTACATACTGTATGTGATGGACTTCAGTCGGAATACAATAGTATTTTAGTTGGTTCCTATTATTTTAAAAAATATTTTTACGCAACTAGTAATTATAATTATTATTTAACACAAGAGCAAACATGCACTCGACCATAGTTTCAAAATTATAGCCTCAAGTTAATAGCTCTGCACTACACACACTCGACCTACTGGAGATTGAACCAAGTCGGAAGCTTTTTTTTTTGCGGAGGTGGTTCAAATCTTTATTCACAGCAACACTTTAAGTGTACACATCTTGTAGGTACTGTACTAGTTTTGACGAATTGTTTCCTAATTGTTTTCATAATTTAAGTGTACATACAGTATATGGTTTGCAAATAATAAATTAAATTAAATTAAATTTAAATTGTGGGACAGGTTAAGCCGCGTCGTGTCCGACATCATAAGTAGTACTAAAAATGTACAGTAGGTCGAGTGTGTGTAGTCCGGAGCTATAAAATTGAGGCTATAATTTTGTAACTATGGTCGAGTGCATGTTTGCTGTTGTGTTAAATAACATTAATAGTCTATTCACGTATGTAAAACGCAGCAGAGCACTAAATTATTCTCCTCGGATTACTAGGATAGCAATTGCTCTCCTTGAAATTTTCAAAGCTTTGAATAGACCCCCCCCCCCAGGGGTGGATCCAGGTATCCGAATTGGGTGGGGGGGGGTCGGGCGTTCCTAGTGGAATCCAGCCTGCACCCGGGAAATTTTTTTTTTAGACGTCCAGAAAAATAACTTCTGAGGCCTGGCGCCCCCTTCCCCCTAAATCCTCCCCTGCCTCCCCCTCAAATAAACTCCCACTCCAGAGCCTCATTTGGAACGCCTTTCGAAGTAACGCCCGGAGCTG